AAAAAAAAAAAAAGAGAAAGCCATCAGAAGGAAACAAGTATCTCTCAAAGAACTCAAGGACAGAATACATTCCTGGGTCTTAGGAATGGCTGGAACCAGCAATTAGAAAGCCCTTAGACAGGAAGGCTTTCTCTCCCCTCCCTCCCTCCCTCTCTCTCTCTCTTTTCTCTCTTTTTTCTCTCTTCTCTCTCTCTCCCTCTCTCTCTCTCTCCCTCTCTCCTCTCTCTGTCTCTCTCTCTCTCCTCTCTCTCTCTCTCTTTCTCTCTCTCACCTATGCATATTCTCATCTGACTCTCTCTGGGTATCTGCTTTGTTTTTGCTTTCTGCAGGCTCCATTTCTCAGTTCTACTTCTATGTGGACCTGATGTAGTCTTCCCAATCTCGATCAGTTTCCAGCTTAAGTATTGTCAGGAGGCTAGCTAGAACTCCTGTATTTCAAAGATCGCTTCTTAGAAGAGAGAATCTGATTGGCCCAGCTTGGATCAGGTAGTCATCCTTGATCCAACCAGTTGTGGTTGAAGGGATGAGGTCACTTGCCATTAGTCCTCAGCAAGGACCCTCAGAGAAGGCTCCCTGACATAGGGCAAGGTGAGGCAGAAAGATGAGTTGACTTAAGCGTCTGTGCTCAGCATGCATTCACGTCCCTTGGTGGTAGCACCAATGCTAAAGGATGAGGATATTGAGTTCTGGAAGGTCCTGGAAGACATGACATGCTGTATTTGTTATTCTCCTCTGAATATATGTAGTAATTTCCTGTGACAAAGAAAGAGTTTTTTTTTTTTTTGAGTGGAGTCTCACTCTGTCACCCAGGCTGGAGTGCAATGGAATGATCTCAGCTTACTGCAACCTCTGCCTCCTGGGTTTAAGCAATTCTCCTGCCTCGGCCTCCTGAGTAGCTGGAACTGCAGGCATGCACCACCATGCCTGGCTAATTTTTGTATTTTTAGTAGAGATGGGGTTTTTCCATGTTGGCCAGGCTTGTCTAAAACTCCTGGCCTCAAGTGATCCACCCGCCTTGGCCTCCAAAGTGCTGAGATTACAGGCTGAACTCTGTACTTCATCTTTACTGTTCATATTTCTGGTAATATAGTCTACATGAAAGGAAAGAGAACAATAGCAGGAGATGGGGAAAAGAAAGAGAACCACATTAGCAAGGAACCATGGCTGTGAGGAGAAAATGCCAAGCAGTCCTGTGGATTGGGCGCTGTCTCTAGAGGGTCAGCATGGAACTTGGCCAAAACAGATATAAGTCAGATTTAGGTCTCGAGCATTGAGGCCTGATGCAGCATTCATTTATTTTATTTTTTTGTTTTTTGAGACAGGGTCTCTGTTGCACAGACTGGAGTACACTAGTGTGATCTCAGTTCACTGCAATCTCAGCCTCCCAGCTCAAGCCATTCTCCCACCTCAGCCTCCTGAATAGCAGGGGCTACAGGCATGCACCACCACACCCAGCTAATTTTCTGTATTTTTAGTAGAGGCAGGGTTTTGCCACATTGCCCAGGCTGGTCTTGAATTTCTGAGCTCAAGTGATCCACTTGCCTCAGTCTCCCAAAGTGCTAGGATTACAGGTGTGAACCACCTCGCCTGGCCTGATGCAACATTTATGATGAGGAGACTCTTACTGTGATTGTGCTATTTGCCCACTTTTCCACACTGATAAAATAGGCAATAGTTTAAGGAGAAAGCGTCTGGGCCACCTTGGGTGTGCTGCTTCCCAGGACTCTGAGCAGAACACCTTTTCCTGGGGAATGGTGGGGGAGGTGTGGTTGCACTGAGCAGTGTGAACGTACTGATTGGTGTGTGACATATGCCAATATGTGTTTGTGATGCAGACATCATGATCACTGGCGTAATTTATTGTGCACTGCTTCAAATGCTGCTCATACACAATTTCTAATCCTTGCTACAATCTTGCAGCATGGATGCCTGTGTTATCATCTTCAGATAGATAGCTGGGGGCCTCCAGAGAGCCAGAGCTGAGCGGTTGGCACATGAGAGGGCCAGGAATGGGATCTCTCTCTCTGGCTTTAAAGCCCATCTTCCCTTGTTTTTGTTTTTTTTTGTTTTTTTTTTTACTTTTTTTTTTTGGTGCCACACAACACTCCCAGAAACAGAGTCAGTCATGAGAAAAGGAATCAAATGCAGAGTCATCTGCAAAGTTCCCGAAGAAAGAAAAGGATTGTTTTAAGGACTTATTTTCATTAGGATTTCGTTTATGACTTATTTTCATTTCAGCTTCTATGTGGTGGGGAATATTTACCTTATTTGAAGCTGATATTGTCAACAGTTATCATAGAACAGGTAACGTGAGGCCTTTTGAGATCTCTCTTTGAAAATGAAAATAGAAACAACACTCACTGGGCCTATAGGAGGGAGGAGGGAGGGAGGAGGGAGGGAGGAGGA